CGGGCCCAGGCTGGATTCGAACCCACCAGCTCAGGTGTATGTGGCTGGCGCCTCAGCCGCTTGAGCCACAGGTGCCAAGCCAGCAGGGACTTTTGACTTTTATCCAGAGTGGAGCCGGAGCTGCAGACCCTGGGGTGGGGAGGAGTCTGCTGTGAAGCGTTGGCCTACTGCTCCATGGGTAGCAGATGGAGGTGGAGGGGGCCAGTGAGGAGGCTATTCAGTAACTCAGGTGAGAAGTGATGGTGGCTTGATGAGGATGGTGTGAAGCAGCATGGGGAATGACAGAAAGTTTGAAGTCAGAGATGGTACTGAAGTTTTTGACCTGAGCAGTTGGGAGGATAGAGCTGCTGTCAGCTGAGAGGGAGAAGACAGGTGGGCAGGGGCTGGGGGAACATCTGGAGGTCAGTGGTTTTAATCCTCACAGAACCTGGCAACAGCTGGCCCCAGCCCAGTGCCCTGGGTTGGGGTGTGTGAATGCGTGTCATTTTCCAGCCTGCTCTCCATCCTCTTGTTCTCCTGCAGCTGTGGGGGCAGCCTATGCTGCCAAGCGGGCCAATGCCAACAGGGTTGTCATTTGTTACTTCGGCGAGGGGGCCGCCAGCGAAGGGGATGCCCACGCCGGCTTCAACTTTGCCGCCACACTTGAGTGCCCCATCATCTTCTTCTGCCGGAACAATGGCTATGCCATTTCCACGCCCACATCCGAGCAGTACCGCGGGGATGGCATTGGTATGGACCCTGCTGGCTGCTCCCCACCCTGCCCGATCACCCTTTACCCCCATCCTTGTGGTGTCCGGCACCTGTTGGGTTTCAGGAGCCAGTGGAGCCAGCACTGTGTTGTTACCCTCTGCTTTTCTCACTCGGCCTTCTTTCCTTCCTTTCCCTCCTGCATGTTCCTTTCTGACCCCACGTTTTCCTCATCTGAGCTCTGGCCTGACCAGCCTTCTCTCTGTCCCCACAGCGGCACGAGGCCCTGGGTATGGCATCATGTCGATCCGCGTGGACGGTAACGATGTGTTCGCTGTGTACAATGCTACAAAGGAGGCCCGGCGGCGGGCTGTGGCAGAGAACCAGCCCTTCCTCATTGAGGCCATGACTTACAGGTGCCTACCTCACCCCACAGCTTTGACAGCCACCATCTTAGCACCTTCTTCATATTGATCACTGTCCCCAGGACACAGTCTCATTGCCCCATGTTGTATCCCCTTTCTTGCCTTTATTTCCACTCCTTCATCCCTAGTTTGTCCCTTTCTCTGCCTCCATACCTCCCTCCTCTCCAGGGGGCCCTCCCATGCTGACCCTGGGGCTCCCTCCCTTGTGCAGGATTGGGCACCACAGCACTAGTGATGACAGCTCTGCATACCGCTCAGTGGACGAAGTCAATTACTGGGACAAGCAGGACCACCCCATCTCCCGGCTGAGACACTACCTGCTGAGCCGTGGCTGGTGGGACGATGAACAAGAGAAAGCATGGAGGAAGCAGTCCCGCAAGAAGGTGAGTGCTGGTGCAGTGTGGGGCACACGGGGCAGGCCACTCATGACCCGGCTCTGTGTCCTTGGCAAGTTGCCTTCCGTTTCCTCATCTCTGAAGGGGATACTGGTAGTGCCCATTTCAGAGGTTGTCTGAGGATTAGGTGGCTTAATCCACAGATAGTGTACATGTCCTGCCCTGAATCTCTATCCCACCCTTCCTGGTGTAGCCATTAGGGGCCAGAGGGACAGTGTAGTCCAATGGTAAGGATAGACCCTGGCATCCGGCAGCACCATGTGTCCTGGCTCTGCCCCTAACTCCATCACTGTGGGCAAGTCCTTTCTCTTCCCTATGCCTCTGTTTCCTCATTTCTCACCTGCCTATTTCTTGGGGCTACTGAGAGCCTTAAATGAATTCACACACTTAGTACAATGCCTGGTCCTTGCAGAGGACAGCAATGCTGGGACTCAGGGTGTGTTTGTTACACTGCTGTTATGACAGTCAGCTGCTGTGCACAGATGGAAACACAAAGGCTCAGAGCAGTTAGCACCTCAACCCGAGGTCCCACTGGACGAGGGCCCTGAGTGGGAGGTTGGCTGCCTGATCACTATGCTGTGCCCCCACAGGTCATGGAGGCTTTTGAGCAGGCTGAGCGGAAGCTGAAGCCTAATCCCAACCTGCTCTTCTCGGATGTGTATCAGGAGATGCCTGCCCAGCTCCGCAAGCAGCAGGAGTCCCTGGCTCGTCACCTGCAGACCTATGGGGAACACTATCCCTTGGATCACTTTGAGAAGTGAGGCCTGGCTACCCTACCCCCACCCACCCTCAGCCATCCTATGGGGCAGTCCCACTCGGGAACAGGGAGAGCTGGCAGGACTGCTCTACTCCCCATCCAGTTCCCTCTGAGTACTCAGGAACCAGGTGGCACCTGGGACTGTAACAGGTGGCTCTCACTGCCCGTCCCTGCTCCTCCAGGCTGTTACATTTGAGGGGCGGAGTGTTCACGCAGTTGCTGAGGCTCCATCAGCCCTCTCTTCACCTGTTGTTACAGTGCCTTCTCCCAGGCCTGGGTGAGGGGTCTCTGGGACAAAAAGCCCTGGGTGTGGGTGGACACAGCACATTAGCCTACGGAACTTCCTCAGAGTGATAGGTGGTCAGCAGAGGTAGCAAATAAACTAGGTCCTGCATTTGGCCCTGTACCACCTCTGTTCTCTAATTCCGGGAGCTTGGGGGTATGGGAAGAGTTTAGCAAGACTTAATGTGGGCCCAGCCCCAGCTTTTCTAATTTAGATAAAGAGGGCCAAGGCAGTTGAGAATCTGCTTCCCCAAGAAACTTTTGCAACTGGCAGGTCAGCTTCCGCAGACGGAAGGGGCAGGGGTCCTACAGAGATGGTCTCCTGGTCTCCCACAGAATGAGGCAAATCTGGTGTCCAGCAGAGGGACCAGAAGGCCATCAGAGCTAGCCCTGCCTAGGATGGGGGGAGTATCTAGTGTGGAGGTCAGGGTGTGGCTGAGCTCTGCTCTCTACCTCTTGGGGCCCCATAGATGCAAATACAACTCCAGGTCTCAGAGTGGGCAGTGTGTGTTTTTCAGAAAACAAGGAGTAGACAAAACTGTTCATGGCCTCATCCTGCCTGGCTGGGGAGGCCCAAGAGTGGCTCACACAGTCCAGGTTCTAGGACTTCTCCCTCAGATGAAGGCCTGGAGGGAGGGGCCGGGCAGGGTTGCAGGCATTACAGGCCTGGAGCAGGCCAGCTGGCCTGTTCCCCCACTGAGGCTCAGCACTGCAGCTGTGGGTCCTGTAGCTGCTTCCAGAGCCGAATGCTGTCCTGGGGGCCAAGGGGCCGCAACAGCAGCAGGTCTCGGACAGCACAGCGATCCGTGGTGCGATCTGCTGGCCAGGCTGTGAGGAAGCCTGGGTGGGCCCGAGGCACCAGGCCCAGGGCACGGAAGCAAAGGCCAGTGTAGACGTCGTCAAAGGGGAAGGGTGCCACATGGGCTGCTGCCTGCAGCAGCCAGGGTGCCAGGCGCCCTGAAATAATGTAGCCACCTCCACTTGCATAGGCTGGGTAGCTACCTTCAAAGAAGGACCCAGGCACATAGAAGGGTCCTCCAGGTTTCCGGAGGGGTATGGCCTGTGTAAAGACCTCACCCAGGTAGAGGCTTTGAGCCCAGATAGGCGGCAGGCTCCGCAGGTGATCCAGCAAGGCAGGGGTATGCACAAAGGCATCATCTTGAACTTGGAGGACAAAAGTCACATCAGGGCAGTGGTGGCCCAGCCAGGCCATCAGCAGGAGGTCTTTGAGTGTCCTGTTGAAGGGGACATCAAGGAAGTCCCAGAGTAACAGGTCACTGTAGCGATGGCTCTCCCAGGCCACCAGGGAGCTTAAATCAGGCCCTGCCTCACCCACGGGGGACCCCACCAGGAAGAGCAGCCGGATCCCAGGAGCTGGACTGCCCCATGTCTCTCTCACAGCCTGTCGTTCTACAAAGCGCCCTGGTTCTGACTTGACAGCCAATAGCAGGTAGGGGACATTGGTATCTGAGCAGCTGGCCACTTGGCCACCACCAGTTCTGGGCAACCACCGTGGGAAGCTTCTACAGGCTGCTGACAGCAGGAAGCGGCGGAGGTCCTCAGGGTAGGAGGCAAAGTCAGGGATCTCGGCGGCGGCAGCAGTCCCCCAAGACTGGCAGTCCCCTGCCTCAGTGCTGTCCCCAACAGGCAGGGTCCCCAGCCGCCACTGCTGCTGGTTCCAGTAAGTCAGGGGCAACGGAACAGTCTGGCCAAGGCGGGCTGAGAGATTGGCGGGAAGGGTAGGTTCTAGGCTGGCTGGTGTGGGGCCTGGCAGTGTGCCCCGGGGGCCAGCGTAGGCCTTGCTGAGCCGGGACTCAGACGTCCACTCGATGTACACTTTGAGGCCCAGGAGCGTGAGCAGAGCTGACAGGCACAGAAGGAACTTGGGGCAGCGCATGACCTGGTCCAGAGAAGGGGCAGCCACGGGAGCTACAGGGGAGCCACAAGGGAGCCATGGAGGCCTTTGGGGTACAGGGATAGCCTCCAGAGAGGGCCCCAGCAGGTCCCAGGCAAACAGCCTCATATCTCCCACAGTCCTTGCCAACCCCTGTGATGGCTTCTCTGTCTCAGACTCCAAAAAGCTCCCCAGCCCAAACGCCCAATGGCTCCCAATACCTAGACATAGAACCCCCCATTCCAGTCCCATCCCAACACCCTGTTGCTTTCATTCCATCCAGCTCCACCCTAAAAGCAGCCCAGGAGGTTTATTCTTCCCTAGAAGCCCAGAGACTAGGGGACCAAGATCTCTCCACCTTTCTATTTACTCCCTCTGTCCCTTCATTCATCCTCTTCACCAGGAAATTAGGATCTCTTGATTCCTAGCTGTGGTTTAAGTTCCTTCCACCTTCTTAGAAATCCAGCCTATCTCCCTCCCCACAATATGCCCACCCTAGGGACTGGGGAGCCAGGGGTCTGGCTCTTTATTACCTTTGGGTTTGACTCCCACCAGCTCCGGCGTTGCCGGGCCTCTGTTCAGGGCCTCCCTCAGCTCCCTCCGTTCTGCCCTTGCCCCTGCGTGTGGCTGCAGCGCATTCTACCAGCCCAGCCCAGCCCAGCCCAGCCAGTCCAGAGGGGCAGGGCGGGGAGGAGAGTGGAGCGGAGCGGGAGCTGGGAGGGCCCCAGGGGCCGGGAGGGGCTGGGGCGGGGCTGAGCCTGGAAGGAGAGCGAGGGAGGGAGGAAGGCAGGAGGCCGACCTGAGACTTGGGGCAGTGGCGTGTTAGGGCTGGTTTTCTGGAGAGACAGCCGGGAAAGGTGCAGACCAGGAACCTTTCAAGGTCTAGGATGAGGGAGTCCAAGGGAGGGTGAGGCTGAGGGCTGGGCCTGAGCTGGGGAGTGTCAGAGTGACCAGGGGCAGGCAGAGCCCCACAGAGGCCAGGGGCTGGCATTGGGCCCGTGGCAAGGAGTCCGTGGGGGGTGGTGGCAGTGAATGTGCTGAGTGGGGATGGATGGTCCGCCTGAGATAGGGATGTTTGTTTTTGCGTCCAGGCGTCAGGGTGGGGTGGGGTGGGGTGGAGAAAGGGGCTTGTAAGGAGTAGGAGAGAGCGAGAGACATTGTGGAGAGGGAAGACAGCCAGGGAGACCTTGGAGTGGAGGCAGGCAGCAGAGAGAGGAGACACAGGATGGAGAGAGCTGAAAGGAGAGGAGGAAGATGGAGAAATCCAGAAAAACAAAGAGTGGCCAGGAAGCCTCTGCGGGGTGCTCAGGGGGAGATTTAGAGAGGCAGGTGGAGGGGAGAGGGAGGGACTCCATTCCCTTCGAGCCTGGGCTGCCTGCCCAAGAGGGTGGGAATCTCCCCACCTCCAGCCCTGAAGCCAGCCTGCCCTGGGGCTCAGCCCCTCCCTAAGCAGCACAGTGACTCCAGGAACACTCACATCCGGCACCCCTGGGACAAGAGAGGGTGTCTGCCTGTGTTTACATAACCTGTCCCCAACCCCCAGAGGCCTCTGCCACTGGGGCTGCGTCGGCTGTCTAGGGGTCTCCCCTGACCTGGGGTGGGATGTGAGGGACCCCCACTAAGCCTAGGCAGTCACTCCACCCTGGTTTGGGGAGGAACTCTTCAGATCATCTTAGGAACCCACTCGGTCAGCGGCAGTTTTTTATCTGTGGCAGCCTGATTTCCTACCCCCAAGTTTGAATAATGGAGCCCACAGAAACAGCTGGAGGAGGAGAATGGGGAGGAAGTGGTGGTGAATACTAATCGCCTAAAACAGTGGTTCTCAACCTTCCTAATGCCGCAACCCTTTAATACAGTTCCTCATGTTGTAATATCCCCCAACCATAAAATTGTTTTCGTTGTTACTTCATAACTGTAATTTTGTTATTATGAAGCGTAATGTAAATATCTGATATGCAGGATGTATTTTCATTGTTACAAAGGGGTCGTGACCCACAGGTTGAGAACTGCTGGCCTAAAAGCTAGTGTGGGAAATGACAGTCAGGGGCTGGGGGCAGGGGACTGAGTGCTTTGAGTGTGCAAGCCCACCTCATCTAGGGCTGGGAGTCCACCCCTCCACCCCCCTTCTCTCCTGGCTCATCTAGCTTCTCTCCAAAGGGTACAGAAGTCCTTGACCAGTGGCAGCACTGTCTCTCCTGGGGATGTCAGGACGTCTCGGGGTGTGCAGTTCTTTTCCCTTTGTGCATCGGTCTGGGTCCAATCAGGAGAGAGAACTACATAGCAGTTGGAACAGGGGAAAATTCAACATACAGAATGATGAACTATCACATGGAATTGATGTAATGAGGGATTGGCTGGTAAGAGGTGCTATCCTAGGAAACATAACTGGGGGGCAGGTATGAAGGGCATATCTAACATTTCTGTTTCCCTAAGCCTTTGGATTCCCCTCATCCATGTTACGTTAGGGCAGTTCTGGTCTCTCAGTCTCATTAACTGCAGGCCACGCTTGGGTCCAAGTTCTGGTTAGCCAGTCAAGCAAGCTGTTAGAACCATTTCCAGCTATACAAGGTAACCCACTAAATCTAGTGAGTGCACTCATGCCAGTAAATTAGGCCTGGGCTAGTGTTATATTCACCTTACTGGTCTAAGAACCTAAGATCCACTCTGCACACATTCCCCAGGTTTCTGACCATACATATATTTGAAAGTCTTGTTCTTTTAGTGTATAAGCTGCTCCTTCCTGAGTACTAGTGGGTACCTGTCCCCCTGTAGCAAGCTAAGATTGAACCTAGGTATTTATGGGTCTAGTGGCAGCAGAGGGCACTTGCAGTGAATTTTAAGGACGGATACCCTCTTTCAAGAAATCCGCCCCATGGTGAGGTCATCGTGAAGTCTCACACAGGAAGGCTGGTGCCTCATACACTGGTAAGAGAAGCTCAGGGTGACTTAAGGTTCAAGATTGCCTGTCTACTCTGGGTCCAGCCAAATGACACCCTTCCAAAGATGCAAACTTTTGGGGCTGTCATGGAAGCTCAGTAGTTCTCAGAGCTCAGTTAACAGACCCAACTTTGACACTATTTGTAAACACTCAAGGGCACTCCAGAGATCCATCCAACACAGGGGTCCTCAAACTTTTTAAATAGGGGCCAGTTCACTGTCCCTTACTGTTAGAAGGCCGGACTATGGGCCCCGGGACGAGTCAGCGGCTAAGCAGAACAGGCAGAGGTGTCAAAAACACCTGACAGGCCAGATAAATGTCCTCGGCGGGCCCCGAGTTTGAGGATACCTGATCCAACATCTTGGTCTTTAGAATTGTTACCAGTGCTACAGCTATCAAGCAATGCTAAGGGGCTTCAGCTGGCCCCTTATTGTAGTCAGCCACGGTGGTAGCTGGATTGTGATGGATTGCCCTGGATTTCTAGCACCCTCTTTCCCAACAGCAAGAGCTCAGCACTGTGCTCGAGCCCAGAGGCACAATCAGACCTATCTTGAATACTATCTTATGAGTCCATCACCTGGGACACTCCAGGTACCAATTCTGTATCTATCTGGGTCCAATCGGGAGAGAAAAACTACACAGTAACCTGAACAGAAGTTTAATATAAATCATTAAACATTAATAGTATCTTGAATAATGAGGGATTTATTGGTAAAAATGGCTCTGAATCAACTGGAGATCCATCTGGGATGCTTTACTCCTAGAAAGGTGCTTCAGTGGAGGCACTATACCCACTATGGAAACACTGGGGGTAGAGTATGTCTGGGACAGTTACTGGCCATCTGGCACTTCAGGAGCTGGGTGTCAGGGGAAGCCACGTGCTATAGGACCCAGACACTGGAGCACACTCAACAGGAACCAGGAAGAAAATTCCTTTCCTGGGGCGGCGCCATATACTGAGGGTGGCTGGTTCAAACCCAGCCCTGGCCAAATGCAACAAAAAAAAGCTGGGCTTTGTGGTAGGCGCCTGTAGTCCCAGCTACTCGGGAGGCTGAGGCAAGAAAATAGCCTAAGCCCAGGAGTTGGAGGTTGCTGTGAGCTGTGTGATGCCACGACACTCTACCATGGGCAATAAAACTCTGTCTCCACCAAAAAAAAAGAAAGAAAATTCCTTTCCTCCTACAGTGTCTCTCAGACGCCCTCTACTGACAAAGCCTGCCATGTTAGCAAAGAGAAAGCATGTCAAAGGCTCATATCCATTTTCAGAGCAGATAAAAATGTTGACTTGGGAGCTGAAGGTCACTGAATCAATAATGGGCCTTTAGTAAGTGTGGGCCAATGTACAGCAGTACATTGTACAGTGAGCAGAACAGTCTCACAGGGAAGAGCCATCCCTGTGAAGTGACAGTAGCAGACACCCCCTCCACACACACACACATCAGTCAGGGTCTCTGAAATTCAGAAAAGGCTATATACTCAAATGAGGATAATTTGAGAAGTCTTTTGACAAGTGGGCCAGATGTGGGGAACCATGAAGATGAGTGCAGCTCCTTGGGGCTCCTTACAGCGAAGCCAAGCCTCCCCAGGTCTGAAGAGGCAGGGAAGGAGAGGTGTGTGGGAAGGCCTGCTGTCATCGTGTCATGCTGTGACCTTCAGCCAAGAGCAGCCAGGAATACATACCCCTACCACATGCTTTCCTTCCCTCTGATCTGTGAGTGCCACACCCCGACTCCCAACTAGAAGCTAGAAGTGTTGTGAGCTTTCAGCCATTCCATAGCCATTCCACTGAGATCCTACTGGAGTTGGGAGGGGGCTGAAAGCTAGGTGGGGACTGGGTTGGCTCTGTCCTGAGGCTGATCCTCTGGCTCCAACTTCAGGTCCTGAGCCCAGTCAGCCCCCACAACCTTGCAGTTGGGCAGCATCTCCTCCACCAAGATCTGAGTGAGGCCTGGGTTGGACACAGCAGGGAGATCTGAGATGTCCAGCCTTCGGAGGTTCCTGAAAGGGGGCAAGAAGGGCAGGAAGCCAGAGTGAGAACAGCATTTACATGTGTTTGCATGTGTTTTGTGGGGATTGGCCCCAATTTCAATTCTGGTTTCTTAAAATAAAAATAAATCTTTATAGCTGTCCAAGCACATGAAATCCATTGTCTTAATTACACATTATTCTGCAACAGTGTAAATATCATGGCATTTCATTAATTAAAAAACCCCAGTCATTTAATTCTCCCAGAAACTAACTGCAGCTGCTCCTCTGTGCTTACCTATCACAAACACTGTAGGGTTTTTTTTTTTTTTTTGAGGCAGTCTCATTTTGTCACCCTTGGTAGAGTGCCATGGCATTATAACCCATGGCAACCTCAAACTCTTGGCTTCAAGAGATTCTCCTGCCTCAGCCTCCCAAGTAGCTGGGACTACAGGTACCTGTCACAAAGCCTGGCTATTTTTAGAGATGGGGTCTTTTTTTTCTCTTTTTTTGAGACAAGAGTTTCATTTTGTTGCCCTCAGTAGAGTGCCATGGCATCACAGCTCACAGCAACATCACAGCTCACAGCAACCTCAAACCCTTGGGCTCAAGTGATTCACTTGCCTCAGCCTCCTGAGTAGGTGGGACTACAGACGTCTGCCATAATGCCTGGCTAGTTTTTAGAGATGAGGTCCTGCTCTGGCTCAGGCTGGTCTCGAACCTGATGGCTAAGGCAACCCACCCACCTCTGCCTCCCAGAATGCTAGGATTACAGGTGTAATCCGTGTCCGGCTACTAGGGTTTTTTTGAGACAGAGTCTCTATTGCCCTGAGTAGAGTGCTGTGGCATCATAGCTCACAGTAACCTCAAACTCGTGGGCTCAAGTGATTGTCTTGCCTCAGCCTCCCAAGTAGCTGGAACTACAGGTGCCTGCTGCAACACCTAGCTACTTTTTCTATTTTTAGTAGAGATGGGATCTCACTCTTGCTCAGGCTGACACTTAGGTTTTTGATGGAGGCATGGGACTATGGAAAACAATCCAACAGCACCCCCCCACCTCCCAGTTTCTCTCCCAAATATGTGTTGTTTGGGACATGTCCTAGCATGGGGCCCAGCCTAAACTGAGATCTCACTGAAGGTGGTGGAGGGATGCCAGTCCCCGCTCAGAGATTCGTGGGCAACCGGCCAATGACAGTTCCTGCAACGAGTTGGCCAGAGGGTAGAGGCGGTTGAGACACCAGTCGTCCACATAGGGGCAGCGCTGCAATGACAAGGACTGGAGCTCCTTCAGGGGCACTGCAGGGGGAAAGGGTTGGATGGCACCAAGAGCCCTCCAGAGACCACCGCAAGGGGAAAATGCACAGGCCTTTCCCATCTCCACCCTACCCCACCCACCCCACCGCACCCCACTCACAGAGGTTGTCCAGGCCCTCATAGTTGATGTCACAGCCACTGGCATCCACGGCCTCTATAGGTACCTTCTGAAACTTTAAGAACTCAAGAGGGAACTGGCCACGCTTATTTAGCCTGATCCATTCTTTATTCTGAAACCTGGAAAGGGGAGAGAGGGAGTGCCAGCAAGTACCCCAGTCTTCCCCAGGCCTTCAACCTCTTGAGAATTCTCAGCCTCACGTAATAAAACCATTGTACTGAGTCTACTATGCTTCCTTTATATGGGGCCCTGTCCTAAGGGCGCTACCGTGTTTCCTCGAAAATAAGACACTGTCTTATATTTATTTTTTCTCTGGAAGACACACTAGGGCTTATTTTCAGGGGATGCCTTATTTTTATTAAGTATAATACAACAATCTACATTTATGCAAATACAGTTAAGTCATCTTCTTCTGGAACCTGACAGGGGAGCCGACCTTGTTGGTGGGGCTGGCGCTAGTGATGTGTGAACTCCTTTCCCCTAGCCGTTCGCACGTGTGCAATAGGATGCCTGCAACTGTGGCACCCGTGCAAGTGCAGGTGCGCAAAGTGCGAACGGCTCCAAGAAAGGAACTGTGGCAGATAAAAGGGATTCCAGTCTTCCTTACCACTCCGTGCCAAAATGCATGGCTGCATGAGATATGCTGCATAGCCACAGCCATCACTAGGTCTTATCAGGGTAGGGCTTATATTTAACAAATGCATAGAAATCCTGCTAGGGCTTATTTTTTGGGTAGGTCTTATTTTCAGGGAAACACGGTATGTGTGTGGTCCTACTAGATCCTGTGACAATCTCAACAAAGATGGAATGTTTTGCCAATTTTACATACCTGGAGAGTGAGGGTCACAGAGATCACAGATAACATCAGAGCAAAGATGCAGAATCCCTGTATTAAGGGGCATTTTCTTTTTTTTTTTGAGACAGAGCCTCAAGCTGTCCCCCTGGGTAGAGTGCCGTGGCATCACAGCTCACAGCAACCTCCAACTCCTGGGCTCAAGCAAGTTTCCCGCCTCCGCCTCCCAAGTAGCTGGGACCACAGGCGCCCGCCACAACGCCCGGCTATTTTTTGGTTGCAGCCGTCATTGTTGTTTGGCGGGTCCGGGCTGGGGATTCGAACCCGCCACCTTAGGTGTACATGGCTGGCGCCTTAGGCGGTTGAGCTATAGGCGCCGAGCCTAAGGGGCATTTTCAAACATGTATACTCTTTCAAAGGAAGTTCTGGAAGAAGTGCTCAAACCAGATGAAAATTTTAATTAAAACAGAGATGAAGAGTAGATGAAGCCCATGTGAATTGTGTTTTTAAGAAAAGAAAAAAGTAAAAAAACAAAGGTAGGAGGGCAAAGGGAAGGAGAAAGGAATGGGGAGAGGAGGACAGTAACATGGAGTGTAAATACTGTGGTGGGCCTCGTTGTGAATGTTTAGATTGCACTGAAACCCATTCAGTCTTTATAGCAAAGCTATAGGTTACATATCATCATCATCCCATTTCACAGATGACAAAACTGAAGCTCAGGAATAATCCCAAGCTACAAAGCCAGTAGGTGGCAGAGACTCAGGGACTCCCAGTGAAGCCTGACTACAGAAGCCGGATGTTACGTGACTCCCTCACCCCGCCCCACCTTGTTTTAACACCTTAGTTGTCATACCTGACCGCACCTCCCAGATGCAGGATGAAAAAGGCACCTGTGATGTATGGGCCATAATTCTCCGAAATGTGCGCGAGGGATCTGAGGAGAAAATGGCAGCCAAGGGTGAGGCCTGGGGAACCCCACCCCTTCCCAACACTGCTTAGAGCACTGGTTCTCAACCTTCCTAATGTTGCAACCCTTTAATACAGTTCCTGTGGGTCTCAACCCACAGGTTGAGAACCAATGGCTTAGAGGGTCAGAGTCCACAGTGCTAGGCAAATGGATAGACTGAGTCAGGCTGTAAGTATTCATTGTACCTATGAAGTGCTGGGCACTAGAGGCACAATGGTGACCAACGCAGAGACCTTCCCTGTCCTTGTTAAGCTATTTTACAAGGGGAGATGGAGAATAAACCTGGGAACAGCAGCAAATTGCAGAGTATCGATTTTATGGAAAAATAAAGCAGAAGGGCTGATTGGGTTGGATTGGATAGGGTTGGGCTGGCAGAATGGAGGCTAATTTAGGTTGGACATTGTGAAATGATTCTTGGAGGAGGTGACATTTTATTTTTTAGACAGGGTCTCTCTCAGCCCAGTCTGATCATGAGCTCCTAGGCTTGAAGGATTCTCCTGACTTGGCCCCTTGAGTAGCTAGGGACTACAGGAACATGACACCATGCCTGGCTAATTTACAAAAAATGTTTCTAAAGGCAGGGTCTCACTACATTGCCCAGGCTGGTCTCAAACTCCTAACTTGAAGGGATCTTCCTGCTTCAGGCTCCCAAGTAGCTGGGATTACAGCTTACCCCTGGCAAGGGTGTGACATTTGATCAGACTTGAGTGGGGAAAGGAACAGAGTACAAAGGCTTGGAGGCTGAAATTATGAGGGTTGAGCAAAATAGCAGTAAGGATGCTATGTTGATGAGGGAGAGGGAAGTTCCTGGTTGGGGGCAGGACGGTGTTACAGCTCAATAGGGAAAAGGTTTGAAGCCTCAGAGACTGGCTTTTATTGTAGTTGTAATTGAAAACCACTTGCAGGGGGTGGCACCTGTTGCTCAGTGGGTAGGGTGCCAGCCCCATATACCGAGGGTGGCGAGTTCAAACCTGACCCCGGCCAAACTGCAACAAAAAATAGTCAGGCGTTATGGGCACCTGTAGTCCCAGCTACACAGGAGGCTGAGGCAAAAGAATTGCCTAAGCCCAAGAGTTAAGAGGTTGCTGTGAGCTGTGACACCATGGCACTCTACCAAGGGTGACAAAGTGAGATTCTGTCTCTTAAAAAAAAAAGAAAGAAAATGACTTGCAGGGCTCGGCGCCCATTGCTCAGTGGTTAGGGTGCCAGCCATATACACCAGGGCTGGCAGGTTCGAACCCAGCCCAGGCCTGCTAAACAAAGACAACTACAACAAAAAAATAGCCAGGCATTGTGGCAGGTGCCTGTAGTCCCAGCTATTTGGGAGGCTGAAGCAAGAAAATCACTTAAGCCCAAGAGTTTGAGGTTGCTATGAGCTGTGATGCCACGGCACTCTACCAGGGGTAACTCTGGTCTCAAAAAATACAAAAACAAAATAAAGAAGGCTGGGTGGGGTGTCTCATGCCTATAATCCCAGCATTCTAGGAGGCCAAGGCAGGAGTTCAGGACCAGCTTGAGTCAGAGCGAGACCTCATCTCTAAAAATAGCCAGGCTTTGTTGCAGGTGCCTGAGGTCTTGGGCCCAGCTACTTGGGAGGCTAAAGCAAGAGAATCGCTTAAGCTCAAGAGTTTGAGGTTGCTGTGAGTTGTAATGCCATGGCACTCTACCAAGCTGGAGACTCAAAGTGAGACTCTGTCTCAAATAAATAAATAAATAGGTTTTAATTTCATACTCCATATTTCAGAAAATTGGGTTTTATGTGGCTAGTCTGTGTATAATTTTTAGAACACTTGTACATTACTAGAGGAAATTTGATTTTTCTTCAAGATTAATAATTCCTAAAAATATTTATCTAATTTTAGTGTATGAACTTGCTAAATACACTTGAGGGTTTTAAGCAGGGTAGTGATGTTATCTATTCCCTAGGTAAAGTGCTGTACCATCTCAGCTCACAGCAACCTCAAACTCTTGGGCTCAAGTGATCCTCTTGCCTCAGCCTCCTGAGTAGCGGGACTACAGGTGCCTACCACAGTGCCCAGCTAATTTTTTTTTCTATTTTTAGTAGAGACCAGGTCTAGTTCTTGCTCAGGCTGGTCTCAAATTCCTGAGCTCAAGTAATCCACCCACCTTGGCCTCTCAAAGTGCTAGGATTATACATGTGAGCCACCACACCCAGCCTATTTTACTTTCTTAAGTGTCCTTTGGCTGCTTTGTAGACTATAATGGGAGTATAGGGAGTGAAAGGTTACCAGTTAGATGATTATAGTAATCCAATGATAAAATGAAGCGGCTTTGACCAGACTATGAAGAGTGGAGGTGCTAAGAACTGGTCACATTTGGGATATTCTAGTATTTTTTTGGTGGACTGGATGTGGAGGGCAGAGAGGCAAAGAGAGGAATTGGGAATGACCCCTTAAAATTTGGCATGAACAACTAGGTGGGCAGTGTGGTCTTGGTTACTAGGACAGGCTTAGGAGTGAGCAGATTATTATATATATATATATATTTTTTTTTTGCAGTTTTTGGCCGGGGCTGGGTTTGAATCCACCACCTCCAGCATATGGGGCCAGCGCCCTACTCCTTGAGCCACAGGCACCACCCAGATTATATTTTTTTTAGGGAGAAATCAAGGTGTTATTTTAGCTATGTTAGGATTGAGGTACTAGCTAGACCCCCCAAGTGGAACTGGTGGCTAGCAAATTGCTTATATGAACAGGAGTCATTGAGAAGGGTGGGGGTTGGAGAGAAAGATGCAAGAGTCAGCAAGACTGGCATTAGAAGCTGTGGTGCTACCTGGAAAGGGCAGGATCTAGGCTTTGGTGAAGCCTGAGCAGTGGGTCTCCACAAAGTCTTGCAGGCTAGGGGTTCTCACCGATTTTTCTTGTGCAGTAACAACATCTGATTTTGGAGGAGGTACTCCCTCAGATACTCCACATCATAGAAGTAGCCAGCCAAGAACTGGAGCAGTGTCTTCTTCTTCTGATTGCCCTCTGGGGCCACTGCTCCACCCAGGCCATGGATGCTCCTGGTACTCCCATTCCATATGGCTGCCACCAGGTGCAGGGACTGGGGAGAGGAAAGGAAGAACTTAGCTCAGATCCCCTCATAAACCTCAACCCCTCTGCTTCCTGTCTTTCTCTAAGTTCTCCTTTCAGAACTTCCAAATTCTGTCTTTGGTATCCTAAAACTTTCCCCATGTTTTTCTCAAGTTCTTCCTCTTAATCAGCCCTAAATTCTCTTCTTGATTACACTAAATGTTTCCCCTTTTACCCAAACTCTTATTTTTTCTCAAAAATTCTATTATCTGACTTCTATCTTCCTACCAATTCATCTCTTAATTTTACCTAGTTCTCCCAGAATATTCCTGAATGACCTGTTTCTTTCTCCCCAAATATAACCTTAGGATAGGCACGGTGGCTCATGCCTGAAATCCTAGCGTTCTAGGAAGCCTGGGAGGGTGGGTTGCTCGAGCTCATGAGTTTCAGACCAGCCTGAGCAAGAGCCAGACCTGTCTCTACTAAAAACAGAAAAATTAGCAGGGCGGTGGGGTGGGTGCCTGTAGTCCCAGCTACTCAGTGGCTGAGGCCCAGATGGCTTGAGCCCAGGAGTTCCTGTTGCTGTCAGCAATATGCCACAGTACTCTACCCAGAGAGACAAAGCGAGATTCTGTCTCTCTCTCTACATATATAATCATATATCTTTAAATTATATATATTTATTTATAGATATACATATTTGTCACATACATATATATCTTAATTTCTCTCCAAACCAACAAGAGGGCACTCTGAGCAATCCCTGACTGAGAAGAGCAAAAAGTACACAACCTTTAACAGGAGGACAGAAAAATGGAGAGGTGAGACCACAGGGAAGAAACCCTCAAACTCTTCAATTTCTTTATTTCCTTTTGTTTCCCCCGTGGGAGAGAGCTCCATTTATTAGGTTGGGCGTTTCTCTGTTTTGCCTTTACAGATGCACAAAAGTCACTAAAAGTATAACAGAAGGAAATAGGTCAGACGAGCCTAAACATAAGACTCTCTAGTTGCAGGGCTGGTTAAATTTCATTTACAAGGTCGCCTCTGAATTTGCCCCAATTTCTCTTTGCTTTAGCCAAATTCTCCCTGTTTTCCCCAAATCTCTTCATAATTTTGCCCAAACTCGTATTTTATTTCAAAATTCCTGAACTTCAAACCTTTCTTCAACTTTCTCTAAATTTATATTCCTTCATTTTACCTAATTTTTCCTAAATCCTCTCATCGAAACGTCGCAAATTCTCTTTAATTTCTTCCCTTAGAACTCCCAAATGCATGTTTGCCAACCCCATCCCCCTCGTACGTTTGGTTTCCTATAAAAATTCCTTAAACTCCCATGAATTTCCCTTAATTTATCTTCCACTCTGGAGATTCTCCGCCAATCCCTTCTAAAGCCTCTTCTCCTCCAGGGCCCATTGGCTCTCAGTGCGCGTACGTTTCCCTCCCTCTGATTGGCTAGACGGCACCGCTCTTCGAAACGTACTCTCTCATGCCCATTGGATTCTTTCCTCCAAGTCCCCGCCCTTTCTCGCTCCCAAAAGCACAGCAATCGTTTGCTACCCCTTCGAATCGTTCACAATCCTCATTAGCCAAAGATGTACACTGCCAGTGTGAGGCTCAGCGGGAGAGGCTCCTGCTCCTTCAAGGCTCTTTGCTCTCTTAGCCGTGCATAGAGACCCTGAAGGCAAAGGCCGCAGAAAGGACTTCAATTTGGGGGGGCTCCGGTCACCTACCGCCCTGGGCGCCGCCATGTTGCTACGGTCACGCAAGCAGAAGAGGCGGGTCGTTTCTTATTGCCCTCTGAGGGATCGCGGGCGAAATGCCTTCTCTTCTGGACACGCCCCTCAGTCTCCTAGCCCTCCTCTTAAAGAAGCACGCGTTTTTTACGCGTCTGCAGTTTGGGGATTTCTCAGAGCGCCTTGGGCTTTAAAACGGGTCTCTGAAGTCTCCCTGCGTGAGGGTGGGCTGTCCTTCGTGCTGGAGTTTTTTTCTTGCATTCTCTCTGAGCTTCCGTGTTCCTCCAGCTTTTCATTCGCTACCTCCTTAGAACAGGGAATAACATGGCTGAAAAACTGTCATTTTATAAAAGCAGGATCAAGCCTTGGCGCCCGTAGCATGGTGGTTATGGCGTCGGCCACATGCACAGGTTCGAACCCGGCCCAGGGCCTGCTAAACAACAATGACAACTATAACAAAAAATAGCCGAGCATTGTGGCAGGTGCCTGTAGTCCTAGCTACTTGGGAGGCTGAGGCAAGAGAATCGCTTAAGCCCAAGAGTTTGAGGTTGCTGTGAGCTGTGATACTAGGGCACTCTACCGAGGGCAACAAAGTGAGACTCTCTCTCTAAATAAATAACTAAGTAAATAAATAAAAGCAGGGTCAAGCAAGGGAAGGTCGAGTTGGTGGAGAGGTGAGACTTGAAGTTAGGAAGCTGAGATGAGATCTCAAGACTAGAATTGTGAAGTGTTCAATTTCAGTTTGGAGTCCATGGCCAGACCTCAGCGTTAAGATTGTGAAGTCTTATGGATAGAATCATTCATTCATTCATTCATTCACTCTGCAAATATTTACTGAGCATCTACCACGTGGAGGTGGGTGCGGTTCTGGATGCTAAGGTTCCCATGGGAAGCAGGACAGACCCAGCCCCTCCCTCGAGGAGTCAACATTGTAGGCTTGGAGAAGATGGATAAAAAAACAAATGAATAAGGAAGATAATTTTGATATGAAGTGGATAAAAATAGGCAATAAAATAGGGAATGACTAGGACCATCAGCAAAGGCTCTTCTGAAGAGGTGGTATATTTAAGTTGGAGTAACAAGAAAACAGCCACTGAAAGATCTTGAGGAAAAGTGTCCCATGCAGGGGTAACAGCCCTGTGTGGGAACCAGCCTGCAGACAGAATTGGTGGGCAGGGAGCAGTATACAGGCCCAGGAGCGTTTTATTCTATTTACAGTGGGACAAGGGGGGAGTAAAAATTTGACTTGCATTTTGTAAAGACCATATCTGCCAGGTGGAGAATGTACTTTAGAGGGCAAGGGTAGATGCAGGGAACCAGCAGAGGGGCTCCTGCAATAGTCCAGGCAAGAGATGAACAGGGACAGGATAAGAGATGGAGCAGTGGAAATGGTGACAAGTGCTCAGATTCTGTACCTTTTTTGAAGGTCAAGTCAACAGCTTGAAAAACTAAAAGAACAGTGTTAGTCATGGAGATGGGGAAACCAGGAAAGCAGCAGTTTAGGGAGAATAACTTTGCATTTTTTAAGCCACCTGGAGTGTGGTTATTTGTTGTAGCAGCAACAGAAAATGAATCCAATGAGGATAGGTCCCAACTGAGAGTTCCGTTTGATCAGACTCACTTTAAGATGTATGGGACATCCAGATGGAGCTGCTGAGTTGAAGTCTGGAGCTCAGGAGGGAAGCATATATGTGAGATCTTTTCTTTCTTTCTTTTTTTTCTTTTTGAGACATTCTCACTATGTCATCCTCGGTAGAGTGCTATGGCATCACAGCTCACAGCAACCTTCAAGTCTTGGGCTTAAGTGATTCTCTTGCTTCAGCCTCCAAAGTACCTGGGATACCAACTCCTGCCACAACGCCCAGCAATTTTTTTGTTGTAGTTGTCATTCTTTGGCAGTCCTGGGTTGGATTTGAACCCTCCAGCTCCAGTGTATGTGGCTGGCGCCCTAGCTGCTGAGCTATAGGCGCTGAGCCTTCTTTTCTTTTTTGAGGTAGAGTCTCACCTTGTTGCCCTGGGTAGAGTGCCATGATGTCATAACTCACAGCAACCTCAAACTCTCGGACTGAAGGGATCCTCTTGTCTCAGTCTCCCGAGTAGCTGGAACTACAGGTGCCTGCCACAATGCCTGGCTAATTTTTCTATTTTTTAGTAGAGATGGGGTCTTGCACTTGCTCAGGCTGGTCTCAAACTCCTGAGTGCAAGCAGTCCACCTGTCTCGGCCTCCCGGAGTGCTAGGATTACAGGCATGAGCCACTGTGTCTGGCTATATATGTGCAATCTTAACACCTTGGACCTGAAAGAGGAGTTCAAGGCAAAGCAAGGCTTGCAGTGCTCCCCAGCCTTTTCCACAGCAGTGCGGTCCCTGACAGTGACATAACCACAGGCAAGTCCAAGGTCAGCAGAATCATTTGGTCAGCCATCAGTCAGTGGTCTGGATACTGAGGTATTCCAGCTGAGGGCTCATTCTCTTAGAGCCCCTGTAAGCCATTGCTGTCCCTCAGGTACACTGGTGGGGAAGGTCTGGGATGGCTGAGCTGAGAGGACAGGCAAGGACCAAGCTTTTGGCAAGCCAGAGGTTTCTTTGCCTTTGGAGAAAAAGGCAGCAAGGAGGGTAGGGAGAGGTGGGAGGGACCCAGGAGAGGATAGGACAGGACAGATGGGGCCAGACATCAGCAGACAGTGAGCACTGTGGAGTGCTCAGAGAGGGATGGAGTTTGACCTCCACAAGAGAGGCTATGTTTGGATCCTTGTGAGCAGAGTTGAGGTTAGACTTCAGAGGAAGAGAAAGAAAAAAAAAAAAACACGAGGCCAGCTGATTCTCTTAGAAGAATGGACTTTGGGATCCCTCTGCGAGGTCCCGCCCCACACCCCTCACTGCCCTTTATTTACCCCCTCCCCCCAGATCCTCAGAGGACTGGGTCATCCTGGACCTTGCTACTTCCTGCTCCTGGTGGCTGCTGCTCAGAGCCTATGGAGCTGTGGAGGCAACTGAACGAGGCTGGACTGGTGCCTCTGGGGCTGGGTCCACCCCCACAGGCCCTGAGGGGGTTCTCCCCAGTGAAGAACCCTGGCCAGACCCACATGTGCCCAGGGGCAGACATTGGAGGTGCCAGGGAGAGTCTGCTGTGGATCTGGGAGGAGCTGGTGAGTGAGGGGTTTGAAGGCACAAGACATGGGGCGGGGAGGGGGGGAGAATGTCAAGGAGGATGAATGAAAATAAAGGACTAGAGATTGAAAGACAGGATCTGAGTGACAGTTAAGAAATAAATAGAGGCAGAGACATACAGAGACATAGAGAGACAGGAAGAGAAACAGAGAGAGACCCTCAAAGAAAGAGGTGGAAAGAGCGAGATAGACATTGAGAACAAGAACAGAGACAGAGGGCCTCGTACTGAATCTAAGAGAGAAAGGAAGAGAGAGTGACAGCCAAAGCCTGACACAGAGAAATGAGGAAACAGGAGCAGGTAGACAGAGAGACAGGGAAATGGAAAGACACAGAAACAAATAAGGACAGAGACTGACAAATGGAAACAGAAATAGAGATTAAAAACAAGAGAGGGAGACACTAATAAGACAAAGAGTGAGCGAGCCACGCTACGCACAGTGAAATGGAAAGACAGAGACGGAGACAGAGGTAGAGATCAAGAGATGCTCTGAGAAGCAGGATGGCAGTGAGGGTGGGCTAAAACTCGATCTGGGCCCTACTCTCTCCCAGGTCCTGAAGGGGCCCCTTGCCCTCTGGGGTGGCATGCCTGTGACACCCCCTTTCTGCTGGCAGGGGAACCTGCGCCAAGTGGATATGCAGCTGCTAGGCCAGCTGTGCAGCCTGGGGCTGCAGATGAAGGCACTTCGGGAGGATCTGGTTACCATCCTGGAAGAGGAGGAGGCGAGCTGGGAGGAAGAGGAGGAGGAGAGCTGCGAAGAAGAGGAGGAGGACAAAGATCCTCAGAGGAAGCAGGAGGAAGAACACTCAGGAGCCTCCTGCCTAGCCCTAGGCCCCCCTGACTTTGAGATGACAATCTGAGGCCTCTGCCAGTGTGATTTTAGAGTGATACACAAATGAGATGCAAATTTATGCAAATGAGGGGATTTGTAGGCCAAATCAGGTTTGGAATCAAGCATACTGCCAGAGCAAGTGCTTTCTCGGGGGATGTCTGCTGTGAGATTTAGGCATTGGCCCGTGAGCTGTGGGCCTGTTTGCAGATGATGTGGGAGGTTGCAGAGAAGCTGCAGGTTGCATTTGCAGATGCACCTGTGTGCATTGCCAAGGAAAGGTGGGTCTTTGTCAATATGATGGAAATGCTTGCAGATGAAACGTTAGAGCAGTGCTGTCCAATATGGTAGCCACTAGCTGAATGTGGCTATTGAGTATTGAAACATGGTGAGCCACAGCACCCTGGAGATGTGCTGTGAGGGTAAAATACACACCATATTATTATTATTTTGAGACAGAGTCTCACGATATTGCCCTTGGTAGAGTGCCATGGTGTCACAGCTCACAGCAACCTCCAACTCTTGGGCTTAAGTGGTTCTCTTGGCTGAGCCTCCCAAGTAGCTGGGACTACAGGTGCCCATCACAGCGCCCAGCTATTTTTTTGTTGCAGTTGTTATTGTTGGTTAGCTGGCCTGGGCCAAGTTTGAACCTGCTAACTTTGGTGTATGTGGCTGGCACCATAACCACTGTGCTAGGGGCTCTGAGCCAATACACACCAAATTTTAAAGGGTTACTATGGTAAAGAGAATGTAAAAAAAATCTCAGTAACGTTTGAGATTCTTTGTTGAAATGATAATAATTTAATATATTGGCATAAATAAAAATATTACAAAAATTAATTGCATGTTTGTTTGTTTATTTAGAGACAGAGTTTTATTCTGTCGCTACCAACTAGAGTGCTGAGGTATTAACCTAGCCTAGCTCCTGGGTTCAAGTGATACTCCTGCCTTAGCTTCCTGAGTAGCTGGGACTATAGGTACTCGACACTATGCCCGGCTCATTTTTCTATTTTTAGTAGAAACAGGGTCTCCCTCTTGCTCAAGTTTGTCACAAACTCCCAAGCTCAAGGAATCCTCGCACCTTGGCCTCCAGAATGCTGGAATTATAGGAGTGAGTCACCACACCTGGCCTCTAGCACTTTTTTCATCCTGCAAAGATAAAACTCTGCACCCACAAAACAATAACTCTCCATTCCTCCTCCCCCAGTTTCTGGCAGCCACCATTCTACCTTCTGTCCCTATGTATTTGACTACTCTAGGTACCTCACATAAGCAGATTTATGTAAGATTTATATAATATTTGTCTCTTGGTTTCTGGTGCATTTCACTTAACATAATGTCTTCAAAGTTCATCTATGGGGAAAGCTTTCATTCTATTTTGTAGAATGGAGGCTACCCCCATTCACAAAAAAATTAAAATAAAAAAGGCTCCTCTGTGTTGTAGTATGAGTATTTCGTTCTTTTTAAGGCTGAATGGCATTTCATTGTATCATGGCTATACCACATTTTATTTATCCACTTTGTCTGTCATAGGACACTTGAGTTGCTTCTACCTTTTTTATCCATTGTGAATAAGGCTGCTATAGATGTGGTGTTCAAATATCTGCCCCTGCTATCAATCACTTAGTGTACATACTCAGAAGTGGAGTTGCTGAATCATGTGATAATTCTGTGATTAATTTTTTGAGGAACGATTGATTATACTGTTTTCTACAATAGATGCAATCATTTGACACTCCTACCAGCAACACACAGAGTTCCAGTATCTCCAGTTGAAGCATATGATCTTCCCCCAAATCCATCTTCCAGCCCCAGGCCTGGGCCCTTAGTCTTGTATTTGATGCTTCCCTCCCACCCCAGCGCTCCTGCCCATCTGCCTCCACTGCCTGTTTCTGGGGCTCCTGTGCTTTCTCTCTCCAGGCCCCTCCCTACAGCCCTCCATGGCCCAGCTCCATCCTGGCTTCCCCACCAGGGCTCATCTTGAAAACCACTTTGGATGCCAGGCATGGTATCCTCTCCCTGTAATCCCAGTATTTTAGGAGGATGAGATGGGAGAATAACTTGAGGCCAGGAGTTTGAGGCCAGCCTGAACAACATAGCAAGAGTCTGTTTCTACAAAAATAAATAAATAAAATAAAATAAAATAATAAAATAAAAATAAAAATAGTTTTTAGATTTAGCCAGGCATGGTGGAACACACCTGTGGTCCCTGCTACGTGGGAGGTTGAGAAAGGAGAATCACTTGAGTCCAGGAGTTTAAGGTTACAGTAAGCTCTGATCATACCACTGAACTCCAGCCTGGCTGACAAAGGGAGATCTTATCTCTAAAAGAAAAAAAGAGGAGAACCACGCCCCCCCCTTTTTGGTTTTTAAGATAAAATTCACATCATAAATTTCACCTTAGTGGAGTTCATTTCCCCTTCCCTTGAACCTGGGCAGAACTTTGCAATGTCTCAACACGTGGAATGTGTCAAGAGTGACCTTGGTGACATCTGAGGCTGGGTTATACAAGCAATATGACATCTTGCCGGCTGTCTTTCTCAACACACTTGCCTTTGCAACCCATCCTGCATACTGTGTGGGTGCCCAGTCTAGCCCATATAGAGAGAGGACATGAAGAGGAACAGAGGTCCTCCTGGCCCACAGCCAGCACCACCTGCCAGGTGAGCAAACGCGGCTTTAGGTAATTTTAGCTCAGGCCTTGGGCATCCTGGAGCAGAGAAGAGCATCCCCGCAGATGGCAGATTCCGTGAGAAAAACACACACTGGGATTGTTTTCAAACAACTACAGCTTAGGGTTATTTGTTATACACCAAAAGAGGGCTGTAACAATGCTAGTCCTGCTGTTTCCTGCACTCATGTTTGAGAAGAAAAAGGCCCCATCACCAGATCACCTCGTGGCCTTTGCACATGAACTCTACTCAGGGCAACAGAGTGAGACTCCATCTCAAGAAAACCCCAAAACAAAGAGAATAAGAAGAGGATAACAGTTCTTTGAGGAAACATCCTCTCTGTCCCCTGGAATTGCTAGCTTTTCTGTAAATAAAGTGGATTTTTTTTTTTTTTTTGAGACAAAGTCTTACTATGTCACCCTTGGTAGAGTGCTATGGCATCATAGCTCACAGCAACCTCTAACTCTTGGGCTTAAGTGATCCTCTTGCCTCAGCCTCCCAAGTAGCTGGGACTATAAGCGCCTACCACAATGCCTGGCTATTTTTTTGGTTGTTGTTTCAGTTGTCATTGTTGTTTAGCTGGCCCGGCCGTGTTTGAACCCATATGTGGCCTGCGCCCTACCCACTGAGCTATGGGTGCCACCTAAAAGTAGAATTGTTAATCTCTCATCTGCTTCTTCAAGGATTGGCTTGGGTGACAGGTGAAAGGACTCATTAGTCTGGTAACAATCCCACCTTGACCCCTTTGCCTAGTCCCCCACATCTTGGCCAGGGACTGGAAGATGGATGTGGGGGAAGATCACATGTTTCAGCTTGTGTGTGTTGTGGGCATGGGCAAGTCCATCTCATGTGCACATTGGTGGTCATGTTGATGGAAAATCTCCCTTCTTGCCCCATGGGAGCAGGGCCAGTGAGATCATTAAGTCCTGTGTGCCCCAACATAGGCTGTGTATTTGGGTGGGGTGGGTCTCTGCTCCCCTCCATACCAGATACCCACAGTCCTGGTCTCTCAACTCACCCACTGCCGTAAGCTGAGCACATGCAGATACCTGTTTGGAGACAGCATCAGATGTTCATAGTTAATTAGGCTCCTGGCCAGGTTTGAGGGCCTGGATCCCCAAGGGTAAGGGTCAGAAGTCTAGGTGACTGGGTTCCAGTAGGTCAGAAGTCAGAGGTATGGGTACTTGGTCCTCTTTTTTTTTTTTTTTT